TTCCTGTCACCAGGAGACTGAAGGTCCCAATATCTTTGGAGGGAAGTTTATGATAGCTATGTGGGATATATAACGTTGATGTCTAACTAGAGATTGCCATGGAAACATGTGCTTTATTGACTCCCAGGTCAGAAGAGTTAAGGACGCATCTTCACACTTGTGTATTGGTCAGAATCTGCATTCGGACAAAGGGAAAGGGTCATTATCAGCTTAATCCCATTTGCATGGCCTAAAGGTTTTCAGATGCTGCTTTGCTTCTAATAGTTTCCATCCTAACTGATTAAAGGTTCCTTTTGAAATAATCCGTTTCAAGAGTCTTTACTTTCTCAAGTTAGGAGAGGAGCCATTACAGATAGTGTCCTCAAAGAGGGTGCCTTCAATCACATTCTGCAAGATTGAGGATAATGCTTGGGAGGACACGAAAGGAAAAAAAAGGAGGAACAAGGAGGGATAAATGGGCTAAGAACTCTTTAGCCAAGAGATGAGGGGGCATCGAGAGATTGGGGCAGTTATAATACATATTGTTAGGGAACAAGGGCCCTGCCAGGGTGAAGTTGAAAGGATTTCCCAATGATTAATAGGGAATGATCCTCACCCCTGATTTTTATATTTTTAACACTTTCACAAAGTTACCTGAGCACACTTTTAGGTTTTATTTAGGTTTTATTAGGATTTGTATGCCGGCCACTCCCAAGGGACTCTGGGCGGCTAACGCTAACTCCCATTTATTTCTAAGTACGTTGTTTACTCGTAATCCTGCCAATATTCATTAAACTGCATTCGTTAGTATTCTAGGCAGTACTACGGTATCCTTTAACAGGTGAATTCAATGATATGCAGATATAAAAACAAATGCCGCAGCTCTACATATATATTTTATTTATCTTTTAGAAGAAAATGTAAACACAGCAGTAATTCTTGATTATGATGCCCCAGTAGTATGATTTCAATTCCAGGCATCTTGCTTAAAGACCAACAACAAAAAGACAATGCACTCGCTCTTCCAACAGTAATTTCAGGTAACAAAAATGATTTCTTCTTCAGATATTTCAAAGAAATAAGCACAATATTGAAACAAGGAAATAACTTATAATTATCAAAACAAACAAACCAAAACAGCACATTACCGTAAGTACAAACTTAACAATTGTTAAGAGTAGGCCACTGAATTCAGTCTCTCTTAAATTAACTAAACCTACTTTACAGCATTAATCAAAGCACAGCTCTAATGTGCAAGACACTGTTTTAACGTTGTTTAAAGATGTTGCAGTCTGTAAAGAAAGCACCCAATAAATTTTAGGCTTTTGTGATATACCCATATACTTTCTCAGAGGAGGAAGGCTGTTTGTTTTTAATAAAGTGTTCTGCAAAGAGTTGTATTTCCAGTGCAGCAATGAAAAAGCAACACTGGACACTTACTCAGCCAAAAACAGTCGGCCAATTTTGGACAGGCAATATTGAAGAAATGCTGAGGCTGGCAGGAGAACAGCTCAAAACTGATTCCCACAGTTGGCCAGACTAGAGATGAACAAGGCCCCTCAAGAAGGGGAAGAGTTTTTCAAACAAGGAAGGATGCTTAAGGCAGAGAGAAAACTAAAAACAAACTTAGGCCTGATGGACCCAAAGTCTTGAATTCTTTTCTCCCCCCCCCACCCCCACCCCATTGATTCGTCTTTTCATAAGGTACACTTTCCCACCAGCAGATAGTTATAAGTACTTTAGTGAAGATAACATATTTAGCAAAATTGGATCTGGGATACTTTGATATTCAAGACCACTGCTAGATTTTAGTTGGCAATAGCTTCACGGATCTTCAACTTACTTTGACTGCAAAATATTAACACATAAGACGCAGAAAAAAAATTAGCTGAACTAGAATTGTTTCCCATCTGGCAAATTCTTAGTGATCTTGAGTCCAATTAATCTGAAAACCAGGATAACTACCAAGATTTATCTTCAATATACCAAACAAAACTTCTAGTAAACTGCTCACTGATCTTGTTCCCTATTGCTTTTTTAAAAGTGCACATTCAAACATCTTTTTTGTTTATTTTCACAGGGTCAAATTGCACATTGTATGGATGTCTATAGGGAACAGTTAACAGGGAAAAGCGTTCTCCTAATTGTGGCACAAAGGAACATCAGCATCCAAGTGAACAACGCCTTTAATCAAAAAATGTTTACAAAACATTACTCAATTTCCAGTAAGAGCCAGACAAATTTTCTCTAAAAAAAAACCAGAATTGTTTTGTCCCTCAAGACTGAACTCTTTGAGATCCTCAGCTCCATGTACAATGCAAATTCTTGTGACAGAAGTTAATTTTTAACAAGTAATTTCATGCTACCCTCAAGGCAGGGTTATGCATAGGGCTTCCGATATATATATGTTCACAGAATAACTAATAAAAAAGATCCTTGCCTTGTGAGCAGGTGGAAAATCTGGGGTGATGCTGACTTGGCCTAATTCTGCGGCCAGTGTTTCTTTTCTTGTTCTGTAAGGATTTTAGGTTTATGCTATTCAATTATTTTGCCACTGTTTACGGTGGATTATTATCTTTGTTTAATTTTGTTTGGTTTCGTCCAGGTCACTTTTGATGCTTCTAAAGAAAGACTTTTAAATTTTTCTAGATGTACATATCATTGACTTTACCTTGGTTTATATCCAGCAGTTCATGTGTGTAAACAACAGCACAGAAAATAAAGCTGATAGATTTTGAGGTTAAAGTATATACATGTAATATTACAACTCTTACTCAATCTGTTCTCCAGAAGAGTTAATGTATCAATGACTCAACCCACAACACAACAGTTACAGACAATAATTTTGCCCATCCCTTTTCAGGGCGGACTCTAGTGCTGTTCATCTCTTGCAATTCCATCTGTCGTTGTATTGCTCATATGTACGCTGCCCATACCTTTGCATACATACCTGTTCAATGCCTGTGGGGTTTTGTGGCAGTTGTGATCATCTTTAATAAAGTAAGGCTGCAAGATGTGGAAGTGGAATGTTGAAGGTCAAAGAAGATCACACACATACAGAAGGGAAGAAAAGTAGATGATGACCTTGCAGTGGAGTGAGCCAATGGAGGCTTTCTTTGCCGAGAGGCACACAAAGCTTTGCTTGTGATGTGTGACCCGTCAAAACTGCGCTCGACTAAGCCGCGCCCGATTAAACCACGCCACTGACATCATCAACAGGGCGACAACAGCCAGCGCGGAGAAAGAAGGGCGCTTTAAATAGCGCTTNAAATTCTTTAAAATTCTTTCCTTTTCCTCATGACTGGTGAGGCCACGCCTCCCCTGCCTCTAGTGACTGCACGTCCCTGGTGCCAAAATGTAGCACTTCTTCAGCAATCCAATTTCTCCCTCTTACCATACATAGGGGAGCTAAATGGATTTTCTATTAAGGGAGAAACTGTTTGAAATCTGTTACATTTTGAATGCAAAATTTGTGGTGCTTTATCTTTCATTTTAAGTACTTTAGATTTACTTGCATATGAGGTCTTTATTTTTGGCAAGAATCATATAAACTATCCACAAGCTATCCATGGCTATATATTTAAAATACCATGTTTGCCACAAGGCAGATATGCTTACTGTTAACAGATTTTTAAAAACTGAAAGCATACAAAGAGCAGATACACTGCAGATATACAGAACATTGAAAAAAAGAAATGCTGAAACTTGAATCTGCCGAAGAAAATGTGGGGGGAATAAATTTCATATCTAGTTAGCACATTCCAGATTAGGAGGTCAATAATACATGAGTAAATCTCCAGATTTAATCTTTGACATCTGCCTGAAATCCTGAACAGCTGCCACTAAGCAGTGGGTAGGATGTCTCTGTTGGAATCTTCACAGGAAACATATGTGCAAGTAGGATTAGGATCAAGTGTGCTCTTTAAATTATGACACCATCTGTTTTCCTAGGCCGATGGAGTAACTCGTACAAGTTGCCCTACAGTTGGATGGGAACAGGCCATGCCGTCTTTAATGGTTCTCTCTACTACAACCGAGCCTTCACGCGCAACCTCATTAAGTATGACCTAAAGCAGCGCTACGTGGCTGCCTGGGCCATGTTGCATGACGTAGCTTATGAGGAGGAGACCCCTTGGCGGTGGCGTGGCCATTCAGATGTAGATTTCGCCGTGGATGAAAACGGCCTATGGATCATTTACCCCGCCAGTAATTATGATAGCTTCAACCAAGAGGTGATTGTACTCAGCAAACTCAACGCCATGGATCTCAGCACCCGTAAGGAGACCACCTGGCAGACGGGTCTGCGCAAGAACTTCTACGGCAACTCCTTTGTCATCTGCGGGGTCCTCTATGCCGTTGACAGCTACAACAAGAGAAATGCCAACATTTCATACGCATTCGACACGCACACCAATACACAGATCATCCCTCGTCTGCTCTTTGAGAATGAGTATTCCTACACCACTCAGATAGACTACAACCCCAAGGACCGGCTCCTTTACGCTTGGGATAATGGCCACCAGGTTACTTACAACGTCATTTTTGCTTATTAAGGACGCAAGGGAGTGATTTTTAATGGACCACAGCACCTTTTTTTTATATAAACGTGTTTGCTTTTAATTCTATAAATCAAGAGTAAATGTGTGGGTTTAAAAGATTTTTTTTAAAGAAATAAAATAAAATTGGACTGTAGAACAGTCCATATACCAAAATCAACCCTTTTATCTTGGGCATAACTTTTTTTATATGGAATATACTGCCAAACCCTGAGACAACGGGAACCTTATGTCTTCATTAACTCTGCCAAGCGCAGACACCCCAAAGGGGAAAAGCACATGTCTTTTGCCTTTATTATTGTAATAGAAAACTTGGTTTGGATGAGAAAACCCTTTAAAGTTAACATTTTTTATAATAAAATATCAGTGTTGAAACTCAGCAAATCAGTGTCCTGTTCGCATTTCTGCTGTTACTACATGCTTCTCTTTTCTGCTGACCAATGGTTCCTGCCTAAACTGCTGTAACTTTTTTACATTCACATTTTAGTTCAGACTGCAATCCTATGGCATTTTGGAGGCTCCGGGAGCCGTAATACTGTAGCAATAGCAATAGCAGTTAGACTTATCTACCGCTTCATAGGGCTTTCAGCCCTCTCTAAGCGGTTTACAGAGTCAACATT